GGGTGAGCCTGGTGGTGGGTGTTATGGAGGGCACATGTTGCATGGAGCACTGGGGGTGGTACATAAACAATGAATTCTGGAACACTGAAAAGAAAGAAATAAAGACAAAGTATATTATATGGCCACAAAAAAAAAAAAAAGAAAAATCATACTTTTGTTTTATTCAGGAGTTTTATTTGCCAAAATACTGGTGCTCCAAAATGCAGTTTTGGGAATAGTAAAGAGCTTGGTGACAGTCAGTGATACTTACTCTCATTTTGTTTAAAAAATGTCATTTCATAAAACTTTTTGGTTTCAGTTTAAAATAATTGTTAACCCTGTTCTCATGCAGTTCTCTCTATTCTATGTAAAAGGATACAGTAACTTTGACGTGATTACATTTATCTAGAAATAAGAGCTGGGAAGAGAGTGCATTGAGTTCCACGTTGTTGGTGTAATTATAATATAGAACCAGCATTCATTTTCATCTCATCTTTTTCTCTCTCAGATAAAAAGCTTTTGATTAGTAGAAAGAAACTTAATTTTTTAAAAAGATTTTATTTATTTATTTGACAGAATCACAGGTAGGCAGAGAGGCAGGCAGAAGGGGAGGAGAAGCAGGTTCCCTGATGAGCAGAGAGCCTGATATGGGGCTTGATCCCAGGATCCTGAGATATGACTAGAGTCAAAGGCAGAGGCTTAACCCACTGAGCCACCGAAGTGCCCAGAAATAAACTTTAAAACATGTTTGAATTCTTTTTGGTTCTCTCTTGCTGGTACTTATTTAAAAATTACTCTTGGGGGCGCCTGAGTGGCTCAGTGGGTTAAGCCTCTGCCTTCAGCTCAGGTCATGATCTCAGGGTCCTGGGATCGAGCCGCACATTGAGCTCTCTGCTCAGCAGGGAGCATGCTTCCCTTCCTCACTCTCTGCCTGCCTCTCTGCCTACTTGTGATTTCTGTCAAATAAAGGAATAAAATCTTAAAAAAAAAAATTACTCTTGGGACGACTGGCTGTCTAAGTAGAGCATGTGACTCTTGATCTCGGGGTTGTAAGTTTGAGCCCTATGGTGGGTATAGAGATTACTTAAAAATTAATTTAATTTTTAAGATTATTAAAAAATTACTTAAAAATGAAAAAATGTTTAAAAAATACCCCAAAATAACTCTCTCTCCATTAAGGATACCATCAGCTGTGCATGGAGAGAATTCTTAATCTTTGTAAGAAATAAAAGTGGAGGGGCGCCTGGGTGGTTCAGTGGGTTAAAGCCTCTGCCTTCAGCTCAGGTCATGATCCCAGGGTCCTGGGATCGAACCCCGAATCGGGCTCTCTGCTCAGCGGGGAGCCTGCTTCCTCCTCTCTCTGCCTGCTTCTCTACCTGCTTGTGATCTCTCGGTCAAATACATAAATAAAATCTTTAAAAAAAAAAGAAAAGCAATAGAAGTGGAAAATATCCTAACCCACTTTGGTCCACTTACTCAGTTATTTTTTGCTTTCATTTTTTCTTCTCACCATTTCCACCAAAATTTCCTCTAGGTATATTTATTACAGTTACATAAGATAGCTTAGAGAATTTGTAGGATGCTTGTTGCTAAAAGAATTCTACAGGTTGCTAGAAGAACCTTGGAGGGAAGTTGTGATTCATCAAGTAATCCAAGCTGCCTGGAGTGTAAGATGCACACATTCTTCTCAGAGATAGTGTGTGTGATGAATAGGTTCCCAGGTCAGTGGGTAACAGTGTTGCCACAGAAAAGCATATTCTGTTTTATCTTGGGGTGCTATAGTCCATCTCCCTGATTTGTTTCATCTTGGTAACTCATTCATTTATCAAGCATTTACTGAATTTTTTTTTCTTCTTTTTAAAGTGTTGGTAAGGGAGTATACATTTATTGAGGTAGTGGAAGGAACGGAGGTTAGTGTTGAGGGACTGGATCTCAGAAAATGAAAACAAAGATAAATAAAATAATATTCCAGTGCTCAGGCAGTTCATGGCTATCTGCTTCAGCTTTTACTTTCTATCTACACTACGTTAGGATTTAAGAGTTCTAGCTTTATACTACTGACATTTGATCCTACGGTCAGGGATTTTTGCAGTCCAGGTACTGGAGAATGAGATGATTCTTTGCACGGAGTAGAAGCCTAGAGATGAGACTACTCTTTATTTTTTCCAGATCTTATACACTTGCTTCTCAGCCCCCACTTTGCATTAAATGATTGACCTTTTATCTCAGTAATGTGTATTGAGAAATTCCTTTACTTTATTCTCTTTTCTATTCTAGGACCTCAATTACAAAGTTTTTATTATTGTGGTTTTATATATTTTAATGTTAGAATGATTGTTTTGTCATAACTTTTTTAAAAAGTTAAAGTTTTCTGGATGTTTATGTATTTATCCAGATGGTCACCCCTACTTTCCAAATAATTTCCTTAAGATTTTGATTGGAATTTTTATTCAACTTATAAATTGGCTTACAGATAATTGACATCTTCACAATATTAGGTTTTTCTCCATGTAAGAAAAGATTTTAATTGTGTTTTTCAGTAAAATTGTATAGTTTTTTTCATAAAGTTTTTTGGTTTATTTTTATAGTTACTATTAAAATTATACAGTCTGACTGGCTGTTGATGTTACTTTGGGAAGCAATTTTTGCATACATCTATAAAAACCATTGTAATGAACTTTAATAATTCTAAGATTTTTATGTTATTTCAACAAAATTGTATCATCTGAAGTGATGGAATTTTGCCTTCTTCCTATTGCTGAAATCTTTTATTTTTCTTACCTGGATTTATCAGATAGCACCTCCAGAATGATGTTAACTCTGTTTATAGTAGAATGGATATCAGTGTCTTAAGTCTGATTTTGCTTTTAAATTTTATTGATATTTTGCCGTTAAACATGATACCATCTGTTGGTCTGAGAAAGGTTTTTAAAGAGTCCTAAGAGAGATTCTTTTTCTAATCGGGACTAGTTTCTTAAATTTTAGTACCCTTTACTAGATTTATTTTAATTGATTCTGTTTTCTACCTGGGATATGGTATTTTTCATAGGATCAAATTTTCTGCTTTCTTGTGTACTCTCCACTTTTGGTCCCTGTTAATTTCCACTCTGAACTTTTTTATATAGGTTCTATTTCCAAAATCAGTTTTGTTTTTTTTTTTTAAAGATTTTATTTATTCATTTGAGAAAGAGAGACAGAGAGACCACAGTCAGGGGGTGGGGGGAAGCAGAGGGAGAGGGAGAAGAGACTCCCTGCTGAGCCAGGAGCCAGACATGGGGCTGGATCCCAGGATTTGGAGATCATGACCTGAGCCAAAAGCAGATGCTTAACCATCTGAGCCTCCCACGTGCCCCCCACCCCTGCATCAGTTTTGATTATGTTTTACTTATATTCCAGGGAATTGTAGCACCATAACATCTTTGTGTGTTACGTAGTGAAAAGTCTACACTTCTCAGGTTATTTATGTTTTTTGTGATCAGAGCCTTGCCTTTCCAATCTTTACCTCTGTCAAGAACTGTGAAGGGTTTGAGATCTTACCCTACTTGCAAACTAACCATGTTAGCCTGCTGTAATTTCATGGATCATGACCGAATACACTAGTCTCCTGGTTCAGAGTCAAGTAGCCTCAGTATCATAATTTTTTTTTGTACCAATAACCCAAGTCCCATTTAGGGCCAGATGACACCTGTACACACAGTCAGTTCCATTATAGGGAGAGCAGGAAATTTCATTCTTTCCCCTCACTTCCTTTCCATATCATTGTAATTTTTAAGACTCCATCTCAGGAGCTTTCTTCCATATCCCACCCCCACACCATCGTGAACCTTGTGTCTTTGAATGTGCTGCTTATCTACTGTGTCCCTCCTATTCCAGACACTCCAGCGTCCCTTCTTGGTTTTCACAGTGATCTAACTTAACTTTTTTTCTCTTTTTATAATTTGTAGGTCCTGTTTCTTTCATTAGTGCCTTCTTATTTACAGGCTGCCTGCTGAAACATTATTTTTCATGTCTCACAGAACCCTTTAGGGCGATATTGGTTAAGAATGTGTTCAGTTGTAGGGGTGCCTAGGTGTCTGAGTCGGTTAAGCATCTGCCTCTGGCTTGAGTCATGATCCCAGGTCCTTGGGATCGACTCCCACTTAGGGCTGCCTGCTTTTCCCTCTCCCTCAGCTGTTCCCCCTGCTTTTGTGCTCTCTTGTTCTCCTTCTCTCAAATAAATAAAAAAAATCTTAAAAAAAAAAAAAAAGAATGTGTTCATTTGCAAGGAACAGATAGCCCTTTGCACAATGGGTGTAATGAATAGAAATTTGTTTCTATTTATGACTTTTTTCATGTAGGGTATGGAAATTGATAATGCAGATGTTGATTCAGCTTTTTAGCAGCAACCTTTCCATATGCTCTTCCCACCATCTGAAATTTTCTTTTTTTCTATATCTGCAGTTCTAAATTTTACCCATCTTTTAAATTATAAACTCTTCTACAGAGTTTTTATAGAAGACTATTCCCCAGGTGAAAATACTCTCTCTGTGTATACTTTCAGGTAGTACTAAGCTGGAAAATGGCCTTTATCATTGAGTTATTTGCATCTATATCTATATCTCTGTATATCTTACATCTTCTGTGTTAACTTCCCACTAGACTATAAATTCCATGTCTTGGGTATATCATTTGTTACCCTCTGAAAAGTGCCTTTTTTAAGGTAGACACCTTTCATTTACTTGTTGGATGAATGTGAAAGAATGAGTAAACCTTGCTTTTTAAGCAAGCTTTCTCACTGCTATTTAGAGTCTAGAGGAAAGATAAGTTGTCAGGGGTGTGAATGTGGAGTTTGGGGTTTAAGCATATAATTTAATTTACAGGAATTAAATGTACATATTACTGAAAGGAACACCATTATCATATAAATTAGTTTCTGAATGCACAGATACTTCTTTAATGCTATCCAAATGTATCTTCACATATTGTCAATACAATCTGTTAGTATTATGTGGAAATAAAATGGAAACTATTTTTTCTTCTAGTGCTTAGATGAATATGAAGATGATGAAGCAGGGCAGAAAGAGCGGAAACGTGAGGATGCAATTACACAACAGAACACGATGCAGAATGAAGCTGTCAGCTTATTAGATCCAGGCAGTTCCTACCTGCTACAAGTGAGTATTTATTTATTTAAATTTAATTTTAAAGAATTACCTTAAAAATTCATTTTCTTATGAGTTACTATATGTTGATTGATTGTGAACTCTAAGATCGAGAGTGACATGCTCAACCAACTAAGCCAGCCAGGCACCCCTAAAAATCTATTTTTTAAAATTTTTTATTTTACAAATGAATATCTAAAAATACTAGGATGTCAGTTGCTATTTTAACAATCATTTTTAAGTAGCTTTTAATAATTTTTCCCTTCTCCTTTTGGTTACATCTGCTCCATTTAAGTATTTTCAATGGATTTAACCATTGACTTTCCTTCTGTTCAAATTCAAGTATATATGGTTCTTGGTTCCTAATCAGTGATAGCTAGGAAAAATAATTTCCTCTTTGCTCTTAATAAAGTTAGAATTAGTAAGCTTTTGAGTGGACAGTTATGCTCTAGGCTGATATTGCATTAGAATTATATAGCAACTAAAGAATGAACTCTATGTAGTATTGTGAATTGCCAGAAACATCTGCACTTCTGTATAATTATACAAGTAAAATTAAACTCAATTTCAAATTAGCTGTTATTTTGGGTTTTTGTGGCAAAGAAAACTGGGAGTTGATCGTATTAGAATGCCTCAGTAGAAAGCAAACTACTCTGCAGAACCGTTTAATTTAAATTGGAATTTGGGAATGATCGTGATATCATCTAATCTTATGTTAATTTGATGATTGAGATCATAAACTACTCTGTCATCTTCTCAGAGTTCATTTTTGATGTTAAAAAAAATTATTTAAGTAACCTCCGTACCCAGTATGGGGCTCAAACATGTGACCCTGAGATCAAGAGTTGCATACTCTTCTGACTGAGGCAGCCAGGTGCCTCCAGTTTTGACTTTTTAAATGCATTTTATTATATATCACTTTAAAAGGCGTTTCTGAGCAGATCGAATATCTCTCCATTTTATTAATGAAAAAAATTAAATATAAACTCTATTACTTTGTAAGGTTATGATAAAAAGGCATTTGAAAGAGGCAGATATTTTGAAGTAGTTTGGAAATGCAGGTGCAAAACTTCTTTGTCATCTGCTCTTTGAGGCAGATATACTGATGGGAAGAATGATGAAGTGATGCAAGTTTATCTGTCCTTTGTATCTAAGTTGCTATTACTAGAAGTACCTACCCTATTATGACATGGTGTAAGCTAATAAGCCATGTTTCTCTCAGTATCTGTGTGACTATTCATAATCTAAAATATCTTTGTATCCTTTGTTTAACAAAATTGAAGTTAAATCTGGGTCTATTCCAGGTGAAGATAGAGGCTTAATTTATTGAAATAGAGACAATACAGTATTTTTATTAAGAATAAGTTTATTAAGGGGGCACCCGGGTGGCTCAGTGGATTAAGCCCTCTACCTTCCGCTCAGGTCATGATCCTAGGGTCCTTGGATGGAGCCTGTCATTGGGCTCTCTGCTCAGCATGGAGCCTGCTTCCTTCCCCACCCCTCCGCCTGTCTCTCTGCCTACTTGTGATCTCTGTCTGCCAAATAAATAAAATCTTTTAAAACATTTATTAAGAATTAAAATTTTAATTCTTGGTCATGCCACTTTGGTATACTCAAATAGCACCAGGCACCTCTGTGGGGAATCTGCTTCTCCCTCTGACCCCCCCCCCCAATGCTCTCTCTCTCTCAAACAAATAAATAAAATCTTAAAAAAAAAAAAATTGTTCCTACCAAACCCTTAAAAACAGCCGTTTGAGAATAAACCAGCAGAGCATTACATCGTCTCAGGATGATGTACAGTGAACATCAGCCTACAGTGAAGCTGTAGGTTTCATTACACGCACCAGCAAATCTATGTGGCTAACTTCTGCATTCCACTTTTACAGAATTTGTATTATACCTGTTACACCAAATAGCATTTTAAACACTGACATATAAATACCCTAATAAGGTAGAGCAAGGATAAAAGTGTTTCTCTTATAAGAAACAAGATATACCCTCACCCTCACTTTTAGTCTTCAAACATTATTGCACTTTAACTTTCATAATTTGACAGCGCATTCGTGGAACATTCTGCAGACTACTAATTTTGACAAAGAACACTTTCGATTTTACAAACATTACTTACATTAGCAGTAATGGTGGAGCTACCCCATGCTGCACAGCGAGAACCACCATTAGTGTGGTGAAACTTGTGACCCTTTCCAAGGCCACATTTCTGTGGCCTGCAGATGTCAGCCTTTGTGTCTTCCTGTACTTGTGAACTGGTGTGGTGATCCACTGGGTGTCAGGATTTCTTTTGCTAGCTTTATAGAATGGATCAATGAGGATAACCTCAATTTGTATATGGAATCTTTGCCAACCAAGTAAGAATTTCTAGGACTTTCAGATGCCCACAGTGGTGTCCAGCTCACTCGTCTGCAATAGACTGAAGGCTTCAGGCAAACTTTAGCTGGTTAACACCATGGTGGACAAGCTTGCTGTAGGTCGCACCTGTAGGGACTAAGCATTTGTGGCTACCACATTGTGCACGAATCCTAAATATGACGTAACTTTGCTTGGCATTGTACCTTAGTCTGTGTGCTTTATTGGGCCAGGTTGACCAGGGGCCCCATGGAGTGCAGAGAGCTGGTGGTACTGCCAGCAGTGTACCCTGAGAATAAAGTGCATTGCAGTGGACTACTTCTTCCTCCATAGTTCCTGAATGGACTCCTGAATTGGTAGGAACGATTTTGCCCATCTTGGCTTACCTTTGAGCTGATGGCTGCCACAGAGAAAGGAAAGAGCCTTTCTTTCCTTTACTGAGTATTTTCTACAAACAGAGTCGCCTACATAAAAACAACATGGCTCTTAAAAATAGAAAATTAAAAATAACACATTCTTACCATCTAATACTTAGACCTTATTCAAGTTTCACCAGTTATCCCAGTGATATTCCAAAGTATAGCAGAAGGATCTCATTCAAAATCAGGTTTTGCATTTAGTTGCTGTTATCCCTTTAGTTTCCTTTAATCTAAAGCAGTCTCTCTTTATATGTCTTATCATGGGGGGCCTAGGTGACTCAGTTGGTTAAATGTCTGCTTTTGGCTCAGGTCATGATCCCAGGACCCTGGATGGAGCCCCACATTGGGCTCCCTGCTTGGTGGGGAGCCTGCTTCTCCCTCTGCCTGCCACTCTCCCTGCTTGTGCTCTTTCTCTCTCTCTGTCAAATCAATCAATCTATCTATCTATCTTTAAAAAAATAAATTTCTTAATCTTCCCACTTTAAAAGATCATAGGGTGGGCGCCTGGGTGGCTCAGATGGTTAAGCGTCCGTCTTCAGCTCAGGTCATGATCCCAAGGTCCGGGGATGGATTGCCTCATCAGGTTCCCTGCTCAGCGGGGAGTCTGCTTCTTCCTCTCTCCCTGCCTCTCCCCCTGCTTGTGCTTTCTCTCTTTCTCTCAAATGAATGAATAAAATCTTTAAAAATAATAAAAGATTATAGGGCTACAGGGCAGTTACTTTATGATATACCTTCAGTTTGGGTTACCTGATATTTACTTCTAGATTCAGGTTATAGATCTGTGTCAGGAATATCACAGAATTGATGCTATATTCTTCTCATTACGTATCCTTTCAGTTCATACATAATTGTAATTTGTCCCCTCATGGCTGCTGATCACTCTGGTCACGTGATTAAGGAAGTTTTTTTTTTTTCAGGCTTTACTTTCCCTTTCTTAATAAGTATTTTGTGGAACTGATGATCAAATGAGTCCTTTAATAGAAAAAAGTATTTTGTGGGTAAGTGCTTTGAACCATGTAGATACCTTAATCTCCATCAAACTTTATCGTCTTCCTGCCTTTATATCTGTATATCTGTATTGACTCACTGTTACCTATTTTATCTGATGGGTCGTGTACCCTGTTACAATCTAATAGTTTACTGTTGCTCCTGTAACAAATTACTACAAATTTGTTGTCTTAAAAACAGCACAAACTTATCATTTTACAGTTTTGTAATTTGGTAGTCCAACACAGTTCTAATTGGCCAAAATCAAGGACTAAAATCAAAGGCTTCAAAGGCAAAAATAGCACTACATTCCTTTGTGGAGGCTGTAGGGGAGAATCCATTTTCTTACCTTGTTTAGCTCTTTCTCAGTGACTACCCACATTCTTTGGATTATGGCCCTCCTTCTTCCATCAAAGCCTGCAACGGTAGGTTGAGTACTTCTGCAGCTTGTCCTTCTGACCTTTCTTCTTAATCATATCTCCCTCTGACCTTCTTCTGCCTCTGTCTTCCACTTTTAATGAATCTTGTGATTACATTGAGCCGGTCAGACAATCTAGGATAATTTCCCTATTTAGGGTTGTTGATTAGCAACCTTTATTTCCCTTTGTCGGATAATCTAATATGTTTGAAGGTTACAGGAATTAGGACATAGACATTTTTGAGGGTCATTATTCTGCCTACCACACCATTATTATTTATTTTGATGTTCAAATTATCCCAGATTTTGCCAGTGGAAACTCTTTCGAGCTTTTGTATCCTTTGCCACATCTTCATCATTCTTGGAATACTTCTTGGCATAATATAATGTTAGCAGGCTCATTTTTAACTTTCCTACACGGACATTGGAAGCAGCCATTTCTTTGAGAAGCTAAGGAGCTCCGATTCCTTTCACTAGAAAGTACTTTGAAGCCACGATCTGGGCTGTAGGTTTGTTTATGATACTGAAATGTCACCATTCCTGGTCCGTCTCTGTGTATAGACCTACAGAATATATGTATATCTGTATATATACATATCTGTCTTCTGTCTGCCCACCTGCCTACATCTATGTAGGTACTGAAACTAATTTATACTGACAACTTCCAATCTAATCTAATACTATACGGTTTTATTCTAGTAGTTATAACTCCCTTTTGTGACGCTGAGAAACTTGTTTCCCGTTATCCTTAATGTTTTCTTATTTGTTCAATCCCCTTTTATGTAACTTATCTCCCATTGCTACCTCTTCCCCATATTTATACC